ACTGGCTGGGGGAAGTAGGCATAATCTGTTAATTACAAGATCCCAGAACACATGTGTAGAACAGTGTCAAAGCCCTGCACATGGACTTCTCACTAGAACTCCACCAGGTTTTCAATAGGATAGCCTAGACTTGAAGTCAGCCTGAGGCATGGGATCCAAGCATCATCTTTCAGGACTCCTATATAGAAATTTTCAGTGCTGGGGATTTAGCTCAGTGGTGCCAGCCTGCCTGGCAAGTGCAAGGTCCTGAGTTCAATTTCCGGTAACCTCCCCAAAAGGAGTTCTCGCGGTTTCCTGGAGATTTGTGTAGTATAAAAGGACACAGACACAAAGAAGAGCTTGCTATTGGGGTTTTCCTCATAATAGCCCACCTGCTTTCTCCAGGGTATACTTTTATCTTGCCTTTTCCTCTTTTACTAGGCCCAAGCTTACTCCGGAGAGCCAGTTTCTCTTTCACTCTTCACCTTTACTTTTTCAAATAAACTTGCCACTGCTTTTTGCTTTTTTTTGTTCAATTCCAGTTCTTTGTTCAAGGTGAGAATGTGGACTCTAATTTCAGAAGGAGAGGTGAGCAACCCAAAACCCAGCAACATTTAATTGGCGAGCCACTTTTAGAAGGAGCTACCTAATAACATTCCTATTCTTCTATTTGCAGAAGTTTCAATGCTGATGAAGTTGGGTTTTTTTATTGTACTATAGCTTGGATCTTAACACTCCCCAAAGGCCAGTGTTAAAGGCTCAGTCCTCAGCTTGATGCTGAGGTGTGGGTAACTTTAAGAGGCTGAGCCTAAAGGCAGGTCTACTGTCAATGGGACATTCCTTTGAGGGGATATTGGGACCTCAACCCCTCCCTTTTCCCTTCCCTCCTCTCTTTTGCTTCCTAACCATCATGAACTGGGTGGCTTGCTTACCACCATGTCCTCTCTGATGTGATATGCTGCTGTGACAAGCCAGAGAACAGCACCCATGCAACATGGATTAAAATGTCCAGAAGCAGGAACCAAAAGAAACCTTTCTTTTAAAAAGCTGATTATCTCATGTATTTTGTTACAGTAATAGAAATTTAACACATGAATTGTGCTTTGGTATCATATCTACTTCCTCTTAACAAGCCCCAGGTTATGAATATTTTCTATGTTTACTTCTGAAAGGTCTATACATTTTCTATTTAAGTCTATAATTCATTTTTAATTTTTTATAGTGTGAGACTTATATTGAGGTTATTTTTTTTCCCTATACATATCCAAATGTGCCTGCACTATTTTTTAGATAGACATCCTCCACTGAATTGCCTTTATACTTTTGTAAAATTCAAACAGTTGGCTAATATTAGTGTGGAGCTCTTTTTAGGTTATCTATTCCTATCTATCTATCGATCCATCTACTTAGATTTTTTTTAGATAGGCTCTTGTTCTATAGTTTAGGCTGGCCTTGAACTCACTATGTTGCCCAGGCTGGCTTTGAACTCAGTGTGATCCTCCTGCCTCAGCTTCCCTGTGTACCACCATATCCAGCTATCTGTTGATTTGTATATCTAGTCTACTGTCATTACCAGTCTGGATTACTGTGGCTATATGTCTTCCAAATAAATAGAGTGATTCTTTCTGTTATTCAACTCTTTCAAAATTGTTTTTGGTATTCTAAATCCTTTGCTTGTCCACCTAAATTTTAGAATAATTGTATATATCTTAAACATATTTTTAATGTATTACTATACCGAATCTTGATGGTAGGTTTTACTGTGCTTATTTTCTACAATTAGTACAATAAGAAGTATCTATTTGAAAGTGACTATATATAAATTGAACAGAAAATAGATGACATTAAGATTAACTGGACTCTGAATTCACTACCATTTTAATTTTTAATGGCAGTATCATCTTTAGAAATTGAAAGACACTGAAGAATCTTCTGAGCATAAAGAGATAAGAGACAGGCAACTAAGACTTCTAGGAAAAACAGATTAGAATAAGGCTCAGTTTTTATTTTTCCCCACTCATACTTCTTATCCTTCTTTTCTTCTTTGCCTTCATCTTAACTAAAATGAAGGAATAACCAACATTAACTTCAAGTAATTTAACTTTACAGTGTAGAAGATTAAGTTAACCTTTTTCAAAAGCCAAATTAGTTTAAAGTTTTAGGATAGCATCTTTCCTTTTATATTATATAATAACAAATTAAGAGCATAATCAAAACTCAGAAATTATTGACCAAATAAAATTTTGATGCTACAGAAGAAACATAATGCACACTTCAAGGAAGCATAATTTTACAAAGCTGCAGTAAGAACTCTGCCAATAACAACACTTTCCGATTTTTGTCTTTAAACTGGAATAAAATTCTGGTTAAGAGCTCAGGCTATGGAGTCAGACAGTCCTAGCTCTACTCCTAATTGGCCACTTAATTTGTGCAACTAAATGCTTTGAGAATGAGTTTCCTTATATATATGTAAAATGAAATTTTTTCATAATAGGGCCTATGCCACACACACTGAAGGATCATGCATATAAACAGCCACAAAATGAATGTTTATGAATGTGGACAATTTGGGGTATTTGGAGGTGGGGCCTTTGGTGGGTGATTAGATTGTGAGGGTAGAGTCCTCATGAAAGTTTAGAGCCTTTAAAAAAGAAGCTGGGATTTACCTCAGTGGTTTCGCTGCCTGCTGTGCAAGCGCAAGGACCCAAGTTCGATCCCCTGGTACGAAAAAAAAAAAAAGAAACTCAAGAAAATAGATTTGCCCTTTCTAGCCAATGAAGATACAATGAATGAAATGAATTACTTATAAGCCAGGAAGTAGCCCTCCCCAGACACTAAATGCCAGTAACTTGATTCTGAATTTCCCAGCCTCCAGAACTGTGAGAAATACATTTCTGTCATTTATATGCCACTCAGTTTAACATACTTTTATTAAAATAGACCAAATGGACTAAGGCAACATATTAAAAGTTAACCTCAACGCCTGGCATATGGTAAGCCCTCCATACATATAAATTACTATTATTTTACACTCAGTTTTGTCTGAGAAAATTACACATAGGCTTCCCTATATAAAGGACAGAAATTATAAAGGATGCTTTAAAGGCCTATCAAGCTTTATGAGCTTAAGATTCTAGAGAGATATCAATTGATCAAAGTGATCCTTTTTCCTGCAATACACTGCCCCATCAACATGGGCCATAGTTTTCAACTAATGAAATGAACTTAAATAAAACAGGGTGTCTGATTTAACCTTAGCATTACATACCTAGGATGTCAAGCTTTAAAGTTTAGTTACTACAAAGTGGCTTATGTTAGTACACACAATTGGAAATCTGAATTTCTAGTTATGCAAGTTAGAAATTTTGCAAATTTTACAACTAAAATCTGTACAACTAAAGAGGTAAAGTTGTAATCTATCCATCCACAGCAACCAAACATCACTGATAAATGGATTGAAATGTAATTAGGATAGGGGCCGGGGATTTAGCTCAGTGGTTCTGCTGCCTGCCTCGAAAGCACAAGGTCCTGAGTTCAATCCCCGTACCAAAAAAAAATAAGAAGATAAATGTAATTAGGAGTTTTATAAGTGTCATCAGCACATTATAGTACAAAAGTGGGATGATACTGTTTTTAGTTTGATAATGAAACAGATTATATAAAATTATAGAAGACGTAATTAAATGGGTAAGCAAGTGATTAATGGAAAAGGCAGGGAATTTGGTGATTTTCTATGTATTATTACCCTGAATAAGTGAACCTTAATTTCCTCTGTGTTTCAAAAGTTGCTTTCTTGAACTTTCAAACAGTTTTTTAAAATGGTAGCCACTAGAAAGAAGTTAATTTAGAGAAGAAAGACATTTAAAAAGGGCTGAATGCAGCTACATGACTATCAGTGATAAGATCACAGAAAAGCTTTCATTATGCCACATGTACAGGTTTAACCTGCAACTGGAGAATTTTTTAAAAAATCACTGTTGAGATATTTTTATCATGGTTAATGGTAGTATGGGGAAAAGTAATTAGAATATTCATCCTTTAGAACATGATTTATTCCAGATAACACTCATACCTTTGAATCGTTTCCTTCAAACAGATCCAGTATTCCTTAGACTCATCAGGACTACCACAAGATAATGCAATTTGAGTGATTTTTCACATCTACATTCCACAGCAGGGCACTAGTTTTAGTCAATATCACCCACTCACTACTAATATATAGTGACTCAAGCACAGAAACAATTATCCCTCAAAATCAAATTAATAACATCCTATGAATAGTTGTAATTTCTCACTGGGATACTATTAAGAATTTACAAACTTTCAATCTTTGTAAAACATTCATTGAAATAATTTTAGCCTAAAATTAAGAAGATTTAAGAAGACTGATAATAGTAAGTCTATATAATTGCAGCTCACTTTACTTGAAATCTGTCCTTGCAATTTAATAAGAAAAAAATTTATAGTCATTTCAAATTTCTTTCTCCTGTTCTTTCTCTGGATTTTTTTTTCCTTTTGTGACTCTCAGTTCTGCAAGGTGATTTTTCAAAAGGTATAGAGAGGCAAAGGAGAAAATAAAGGTAAAATAAAAATAACAAGTCAGATATGAAAAGAGAAAGTGCAGCTCTCAAGGAAGAAAACAAAAATCAAAACAAAACAAAAATAATGAAGAAATAAAACTTAGAAAACAAGATCTAAAAACTTTCATACATATGAAAAGAATGAGTACTTATTCTGAGTGGTTTATTTTTGTGAAAGCAAAAAATATTTAGTGAAGGATGGACTTATAAATGTACTAGAATATATCCCATTTTTTCTCAAATAAGGTTATGTTTCTAAATTAAAAAGCTGGGACGAAAAACAACTTTTTGAACAAACATTAAGGGCCAAAATAAAGCCTGACAATGCTAAGATGTAAAATTATAAACTTTAGCTTCAGTCTGGCATTTGTAAACATTTAAATCCTCTCAAGCCACATAAAGTTCTAGATGGAAACAAGATGATAGGAAATTTCTAGTTACCATTTAAATTTGAAGCACGTCATCAATTCCGGTGACAAAGGGGGTGTTAGCAGCTAATGTTACATTCACTGAAAATTTCAAAGTGCTCTGAATCTTTCCAAGATGAATGTCCTTTCTTCCTTGCCTCTCATTTCTTAACTTGTATTCTGAAGATAGTAATGTTTACTGCAAGAGAAAAATAAAATAGAGCTAAACCCGACAGTAAACTAGTTTCAAATATATTGGATATCGCTTTTCGTTTAGATATTCCTAATTTTACTCTCACTCAACAGCTGTAATTCATCTAATTCATTTAAGAAGTAAAATCTTTCCTTAGGCAGAGACACAGAAGCTCACACACTTAAGAACTCCCACATCATACCTGAGAACCAGGTCACTTGCATGAATTGCAAGAGCACTGATAACCTGGGATTCTCTATGACTTCATTTGATTGTGCTTGTAGACTTATTTTGCTAGAAGGATATGGATATTACTTGACTGAGAAATCATTAAGCTTTTCTTCACCTTAGTAAAAATACAATTTTAGATGTCACAAAGGCCAACTTTGGTCCAGTTTCTGGAAATATGAAAGTAGCTCTCTCCATAAGCAAGTATTTCATTAGCCATTTGGCAGTTTTACTTTAGGCTCAAGTATAAAATTTAGAATTTTTCACCCCAAACAAATACTGTAGAGTTTTACTTAATTCTTAGTCTGGGTACTCAATATAAGTGTTCAAAATTGGTTCAACAGCCAATTTGTTTTCTCTATAAAATCAAATACAAGGACCATAACTGCAAGAGTTAGTAAAAAATAAAACACAAATACAATTATTTTAAAATAATTCCTGGTTGTGTTTACATATCATAGAATTAAATCCTTCAAAAAACTTTAAGACAACCGAACAGTACTTTAAAAATTAAAGGTTTTGTAAAGCATACTATCAAACAATATCTAAAATCAAAATGTCCGGGTTGCTCATAATAAAAACACCCACAATTAAGTTGGTTTCATTCCACAGATGCAAGCATGGCTCAACATACACAAATCAACAAGTGCAACACAGGACACAAAATCAAAAATAAAAATCACATTATCATCTCAATAAACACAGAAAAAGCCTTTGATAAAATTCAACATCCCTTCATGATAAAAGATATGAATAAAATAGGTATAGAAGGTTCATACTTCAACATAATAAAGGTTATACATGACAAACTCATAGCTAATATCAAACTAAATGGGGGAAAACTTAAAGCATTTCCTTTAAAATAAGAAGAAAAAACAAATAAACAAAGGTATCTACTCTTACCACACTTGTTCAATACAGTATAGTACTAGAAATTTTAGAAAAGTCCAATTATCCCTGTTTGTTGATAATATGATTATATACTGAGAAAACTCTGAAGATGTCACCAAAAGACTTAGAATTGATAAATTCAGAAAAGTAGCAAGATATAAAATCAACATATAAAAACTGGTAGCTCTCCTATTGACCAATAATAAGTTTGCTAAGAGAGAAATTAGGAAAACTATCCCATTCACAATAGCCTCAAAAAAAAAAATCTAGGAATAAACCTAACTAAGGAAGCAAAGGACTCTACAACAAAACTTATAAAACAGTGAAGAAAAAGAATTTAAAAAGACATAGAATATGCAAAGAGCTCTCAACTCTCAGGTTGAGAGAATTAATATTGTTAAATATGAATATTATTAGTATTACCCTAAGTGCCCACAGAGTCAATGCAATCACCATCAAAATATCAATGCTCCCTGGACACACATCTATAATTCCAGTACTCTGAGAGGCTGAGGCAGAAGGACTGAAAACTCAAGTTCAGTCTGAGAACTTAAGTGACTTAGCCACATCCCACCCAAAATAAAAAATAAAGGGTTGAGGGGCTGGGATTTAGCTCAATGGTGCCGCTGCCTGCCTCACAAGCACAAGGTCCCGAGTTCGATCTCTGGTACCAAAAAAATAAATAAATAAAATAAAGGGCTGAGGACACAGCTCAGTGTAAAGGCCCTGGATTCAATCCCCCATGCTGCAAAAAAACAAAGACAATGTTATTGTTCACAGAACTAGAAAACACAATCTGAAAATTCATATGGAAACATAAAGATCCTGAATAGGCAAAGCAATCCTGAGCAAAACGAGCAATGCTAAAGGCATCATCAATACCTGATTTCAAAATATATTACAGAGTCATGGTAAATAAAAACAGCATGGTTTTGGCATAAAAATAGACACTAACTAGTGGAACAGAATAGAACCCTCAGAAATCCACACATTGACAACTGATTCTTGCCACAGATGCCAAAAACATACTGGAAAAAAGACAGCCTCTTGAACAAATAGTGCTGTGAAGGCTGAGTATCTATAGTAGAAGACTGAAATCAGGCTCCTATCTCTCCCCAGTACAAAAATTAATGGCAAGTGGATCTTATACCTTAAAGGAAGACCAGAAACTGACACTATTTGAAAAAAATATACAGGAGAAACACTTCAAGATAATGGCACAAGCAGCAGCTTCCTGAATAGGACTGCAACAGCTTAAGAAATGAAAGCAAGAGTTGACGTATTATAAAGCTTCTGCACGGCAAAGTAAACAATCAGCAGAGTAGAGACACTCTACAGAATAAGAGAACAACTTTTATCCAATTGCCAGAGAATAAGTATCCAGCCATATAAAGAACTCAAACAGCTCAACAACAAAAGAACAAGTAATCTAATCAAAATGTACAAATAATCCCAACAGACACTTCTCAAAAGAAGTACTAATAGCCAACAAATACATGAAAAAATGTTCAGTATCTTTAGGCATTAGGGAAAACCAAGTCAAAAGTACACTGAGAATCCATCTTACCCTACTCAGAATAGCTATTATCAAAAACAAGCAAAAAAAACCCAAACAAACAAAAAAACAACTGCTGAGGGCCGGGGATTTGGCTCAGTGGTTTCGCCGCCTGCTGCGCAAGTGGAAGGATCTGAGTTCGATCCCTGGGACAAAAAAAAACAACAACAACTGCTGAGAAGGAGGGAAACAAAGGAACCCCCTTATGCACTGTTGCTAGGAACGTATAGTAGTACGCAGTGAAAAACAGTATGGACTTTCCTCAAAAAAACTAAAAATAGTACTACTATATGATCCAGCTCTCCTACTCCTGGGTGTATATCAGAGGGAAATGAAGTTTGCATACCAAAGAAATAGCTGCATGCCCATGTTTGTGCCACTACTCGCAATAGCTAAGAGATGAATGGAATCAGCCTAGGTACCCATTAAATTATGAAAGGATAATGAAAATACAACAGACACACATACACACACACACTCTCAAAGGAGTATTGGTCAACCATAAAGAAGAATGAAATCCTGTCACTTGTTGAAAAATGGATAGAACTGGAACTTATCATGTGAAGCAAAATAGCCAGATACATGATGACAAGTATCACATATTTTCTCTCATATGTGGAAAATTAGAACAAAACACAACAACCTGAAAGTACAAGAGGTAGGGATGTGGGGGTGGGACAGAGAGTAGTGAGAGGAAGAGAAGGCAGAAGGGGAGGTGGGTAAGACCTACTCGTGATACATGCATGTGGTAAATACTGCAGTGAAACCCAATTTGTACAGTTAGTATATGTTATATCATAAGCCATTAGAGAAGAAAAATGGAACTTATTCCGATTTTCTTTGTATTCTGAAAAAATTATCATATGGGTATACAAATATTGTTAACCTAAAAAAGTACACAGTGATGAATAATTTCCCAAGGGCAGGTGTATGGCTACTAGCAAGACTGATGATCCAGATCTTCTTACTATCTCTTAATATGTGTTTGGTTTTGCAGAATACTTTATCCTTGAAGATGTTCCATCATAATACAGCCTTAGAAAGCTCACTCAAAAACATAAGAGGCCCACGGCAATTAGACAAGAGAAAGAAAGATAGAAATTGAAGAAGTCAAATTGTCATTATTTACAGATGACATGATACTCTATATAGAAGACCCCAAGAACTCCACCAAAAGTCTTCTAGACTTAATAACCAAATTCAGTAGAGTAGCTGGATACAAGGTCAACACACAAAAATCAATAGCTTTCCTCTACACAAACAACAGACTCACTGAAACAGAAATAGGGCAAATAATTCCTTTCACAATAGCATCCAAAAAAACTGAAATACCTAGGAATCAACCTAACAAAAGAAATTAAAAACATAAGAGGCAAAGAGATATAAACAATGTTTAATTAAATTTTCATCTTTTAAAAAATTTTTTTTCATCTTTTAAATAGTATGTGATTCGTAGACACGATATTGTTGGATCTTACATTTTTATCCAGTCTGAAAATCTGACTTTTAATTGAAGATTTATTCCATTTATATTATCCATTTATATTTAATGTAACTACTGAAATGACTGTGTTCAAAACTACCATTTTGAAGAGCTGGGGATTTAACTCAGTGGTGCTGTGCCTGCCTTGCAAGCTCAAGGTCCCGAGTTTGATCCCAGGTACTACAAAAACAAAACAAAACAAAAAAACTACCATTTTGATAATTTATATTTCTACTGTTTTTAACTGCTTTTATTTTGTTTTGTGGCTGTTTCTCCCTTCTCTGCCCTAATTTCAGTTAATTTTTGATGTTTTAATTGCTCAATGGATGACATTCTAAGAATTACAATATGCATTCTCAAATGATCGCAGTTTATTTAATATGTAGAGGTTTACTATGTGATCACATTAACAAAAAGGATATTTTTATAAATGGAATTATACTGAACAAGCATAAAACCTACAACAATTCTATGTACCAAAATATCCCTTTTATATTTCATTATATATTAAACCTCTACATGTGTTACAAGTCCCCATAATAAAATGCTTTAATTTTTGCTTTAAAAGCCAGTCCCCACCCATTACTGGGCATTGAACCCAAGGGCCTTGCACTGAACTATGGACCTACCCATTTCTTGAAACTTTTTTTGAGAGAGGGTCTCGCTAAACTGCTAAAGTATGGGCTGGAACTTGTGATCCTCCATCCTTAGCCTCCCAGAGTGCTGGTATTACAGGTGTGTGCCACCAAAAGCAGCTAAAGCAGCTTTCTTTTTAAAGAAAGCATCAGAAGAAAAAAAAAACAAGCACCTTTTGTGCTACCATTCTTGGTGGCTTTTATTTTCATGCTT